AGTTTAGAAAGTGATTAGTAGATGAGACCACAATGGTTCTATTGGATGATATTTAGGTGGATGAGTGCCACACCCGCATCCGACGGAGGAAACGTCGGGCGGTAAGAAGAAATAATGGATCATAGTCATTGATTACATTGAACAAAATACAATATTAAAACATAAACACAACTTTTATTGCTAAAATAATATATTACACTAGATATCAAGTTCAAAATATTGAAGTTAAAGTACCAGCAGTGCCTTAACAATTAGGCAATTCAAATAAACGATAACAATAAAATAGTACGCCTGCGAATCCATGATTGATCCCAATAGATTGTACACATCTGACTCTTAATTCCCTGAGAATACATGTGATTTTAAAAAGCAATTGTTTTACTTATATAAGTGCTTTCAAACTTACACACACACACACATATATATATATATATATATATATATATATATATATATATATATATATATATATATTATATATATATATATATATATATATAGACACACACACACACACGTTTAACCAAAATATGTGCCTTACTATATGTATGTATTATTTCAACTTGTATATTAGATGTTTTTATATGACTCTCAACGTTAAAATGAGTCCCTATAACCGAGCTGCTGACCAGTTGTTACGCCTCACGACGCTTCATCGGACATCGTAGTAGCTTAGAAAGTTATCACCCGTTACTTGGTCGTCGAGGTTGTAGCTAGCTAAGTATTACACTAAGGTGATGAAATGTGTCATATAAACTATCGAGTGAGTAGTTCTAAAAGATTGTAGCCCTAAATTAAATGTCAAGTTACCAGAAAAAAGATTAACAATGTATATGTTTTATAATTATATGTGGACATAGTAACGACAATGCATAACAATTATTGTAGTGATGTGAATAGAGTAACAACAATGCATAAACAATATCTAAGTTATGTGAGTAGAATAACAACAATATAAGTTATCTGTTATATAAATGTGACAGTTTAATAACAATCAATATAATGATAAATAACGATTTTTGTTTATAATCGACAATAATTAACATACTGAATTTATATGAACAATACATATCATTTTAAACATGTATTCTCCCCCGAAAACAATAAAAGGTTTAAAATGGGGCCCTGAAAGATACCCTCGAAGCGTGCTTTTAAAAACGTCGCGTTTTTGGTAAAACGTCGAATTGTGTCGGGATCGAATGAGCAGCACTTCGCCGTAAAACGAGTCGGAAAGTGATTGGAGAAGGGGTGGGTGCTCGGTGGATTTTTTTTGCCGGAAAAGCCCCAGGAATGGATGTCGGTGTGAGCATCACTGTAAAAACAAGGGTGCCAGAGGCTGCCGGAGCTGGAGGTTGTTGTTCGTAGGTAGGGGAGGTCGGAGGGAGTATATCGGAGCAAGGGTTGGCAGCAGGCGGCGACACACGGCTGAGGAAGGTGGCAGGGGTGTTGTGCTGACTGGAAAGAGTGAGGGGGAGATGACTGGTGATGAAAATGGTTGCCCTATGCTCCAATTTATAGGAAAAATTGGTTGAGATGGGTGGCCGAGATCATGCTGTGTGGCACGATCTCAGGGCACGAGCCCGAGGTGCCCGATCCAAAATTTTGCAAAATTCCGAGTTTTCAGGTTTATACAACTCGATCTCCTGAGTTGTAAAACATAAAAATATTCACCTAACGAGTCTCGCAACTATGCGGACAGAGTGTTAGAAAGTACGGCTACGCTGGGTTCCCGTTTGCAATGATTCAACTGTTTTCGCGAAAGCGTCAGACTTTTTTGAAACCGAAAAGTTAGCAATTTAATCAAATACTAGATCGCTTCATGATTCGTAAAACGTTAATATCTTTTTCTAACTAGTCCCATAGATAACCTCAAGAATCGTTTGAAGATTCATTAACATGAAAGTTGGCACTGCTCTGTCCGATCCTTAAGGATTTTTTGGACAAAATGAGTTAAAGATAGATTTAGATGCTAAATAACATACGATCGAGGGAAATCTATTAGAAGTTGAAAAATCATAGTCTAAGGCACCTAATGAAGCTTTTGAAGTTTCGTTAATTACATCTTTAGACAACAAACTTGTACGTTTTCTTCAGGTTCTCATAACTTTTGCATATAAACTCCATTTTCGACGTTCTTTATTTCCACAGAATCGTAATTACACATACTTTTTGATTATGGTATTATTTATACAAAATGACACTTAATACATATATCTATTTTAATAATATGTTTTATTTCCCTTTTATGTACAACGACAAGTATCCGTTCATCCAAATTTTTCACAATTTGATGATTTAACTCATAGTTCAGATATATTACAAAGTATAATATTGTATTTACATCAAGAAGAGTCAAATATTAAACATTAGGCCTATTACATTGTTGTTCGTCATGTTTATGATTGGCAATCGCTGACCTAAATTTGACGGTTGTCACAATGAGCACCTAAATTATGTTGAGCGATTGATCATGATTTTAGACAGGAAGAAGAATACCTTGTGCAACAAGGTAGTGGGATTGGTTAAGGTGCAATGGCAGCATCAGAAGGGTTCATAGTGGACTTGGGAACCGATGAGGAGATGTGAGATCCCTACCCTGAGTTATTCACGACAACAGATTTTAAGGAAAAAATCTAATTCAACTGGGGGAAAATTATAACATCAGTTTCTCGAGTTCTCGGTATGTGTCTCATTCAAATAATTTGTTTGAAAATTTATCAGATTCATGATGTGACCTTGGTGCTGATCACGACACACTTGTTTAATGAAAGTCGCGATGTGATGTGACTTGTGCACGACGCGACCTAGCTGATGAGTGGAACCCTAATTCTCGACATTTAGGCCCTATTTAAGGACTCTAACTTCTAGGGTTATCTTATTTGTGAAAATCTTTCTCAAACCCTAGCCTACATAGTTGTGTTTTGAACCTTTGATCTTAATCTTGTGGAGTTTGGTGAAGAAGGTGCCCCGTCTTGGTACAAGGAGGTGAAGTTCTATCCTAGATCCAAGATTCTCATTGGGTTTCTGGTCTATTGGAGGTATAAAGCTTCAACCTTGACCATTGCTTCTTTAGATCTATGTTTTATGTCTCTTTTGCTAGTTTGAGTCCCTTTCTTGGCGTTCTTTGAGTTTGGACATCTCCAGATCAATATGAGTGACCAAAATGGCTTTTGGGCTTATTTATTAAACAAAAAAGATGTATTCATGCTTTCTCTTTAGTCCATGCATGGGATTTGGCCATTTTAGAGTTAGGTTTAAATATTGGATGAATTTATTCCACGGGAATGGATAAAGATGGAAACTTTATCCATTAAGTCACTGAGAAGGTCTAGATATGAGGTTGTGGACCTCTACCTAAGTGGTTAAGGACTGAATAGAGGGTGGTTGTTAAGCCGGAGTTCATGACGCAATGGACCAGGTGTCCCGGCTCGACATCTGGGTATTTCCTAACTAACTTGTCACCTAGTGATCACGACGTGACCAGTAGCTAGTCACAACGTGATTACTGTTGACCATTGACTTTTGACCACTTTGACCTTTGGTCAAACTATGGGTTTTGAGTTGTAGACTGAGGTTAACCTCCATCAGGTTTAGGGGTGAGCTTTCTCACTCTATTACTTACCACATAGTTTTTATGACATGATCATGCACTCTGCTAAACTAATAATGTCTTGTTTGATGATGCTTGTATGATTACATATCTTGTATGGCTGAAAGAGGTCGTAGGCTAAAATAAGTCGTTGGTTGAAACAGACCGTTGGCTAGAACATTTTATGTATGATATTCTATGTTGTATGTCATATTTTGGGGAATTCATTAAGTTTTGGCTTATAGTTGTGAATTAAATGTTTTCAAGTACTTCATTAGATCGTGGAAATACGAATACATGATTGTACACATTTATCAACAACACACATGTTTTGCGATTCTGCATTTATTTTGTTATACTCTTATTATGGGATTATGACTTATTGAGCAAATGGTTGTTATCGTTATTATGATTTGTGAAAATAGGCATTTTATCTTACTTAAAAATGAAAATTTTATTGTGAAAATTGAGACGTAACATACAAAGTAAGAGGATAGAAATTGCCAACGTACGAAACTCTAGGGACCAAATCTACCAATATAAGAAAGTTTTGTGGCTAAAGCTGAAATAAGAAAGTTTTGTGGCAAAGTATGAAACTACAAAAGTATACTATTGTTAAGGTTATTTATAGCCAAAACGTGAAATAAGAAAGTTTTATGGCCAAAATATGAAACCACAAATATATACTATTTCTAAGCCAATTGGTTTTAATATATAGTATTATTTTTCTAAATTATTTTTAAAATATTAAGAAAAAGATTCATATTCAAATGAATCTACTATGGTGCAAAAATATGATGATTAAACCATTTCAATCCAGCAATAAACACATCAATCTGCTACTGCACTTAACCTGGGAAAGTCATATTGTCAATTAAAATAGTATGCATTTAGCCCATCAAATTGCTCCACTTTCTTGATATAAGATAGAAAAGTTTCTAAAAGAGGGAAACCATTAATGGAACTAAATTAATACACAAGAAAATTAGCATAAATAATAGCAAGAGAACATGATTTTGAAGGAGGGAAAACATGATTCTGTCACCACTATACCTTGTTTGAAATCAAGAAAGATGCACTTAGAGATGACAACATCAATACCTTCATAGTATTGACTCCAATTGGTTTTTGATCTAATGGATTTGTCTACAACTAAAAGCAACATCAACTCAAACTTCTTTCAACACATACATAATCATGTAGACTCGAATTCTTTTTTCAAAGACACCTGGTTATTTTAGATACAACTGCCCAGAAATTATTTAATTTCCAATTTTCCATAAATGACATCAAAGAAACATAGTTAACGCACAGAAACAACCAGATTACAAATCATAAACAACAGTGATGATCATGGTAGCCTTGTTCTCACAAATCTAATCAAGAAAGATGCAGATCTGATTTTATTTGTTTACTCATCATCAACCAGGGGCTCATCATTAGTATAAAGCAAATTAAGTTGCTTGTATGCATTCCTGAAATTGTTTCCAGTCATACTGTGTCCGTAATTCGTATCAACCTGCGTAATAACAGTGGATGTCCCGTTGTTGGATCTTTCCCGTTCAGCAAAGCCTGAGAAACCCGGCCCTTCTCCATTACTATAGGGATCGACGACGATGCCGTATGCAGAGTTGTTCTTGTGCACAAAGCCTGAAAGACTACCGGCGGCAGCGCCATCGGTTTCAACCGACTCACGGTTGTCATTTGCACTAAGTTGATTACTCGACTGAATCAGGACACGTACAGCTGCTTCTTGTGGAGGTTGGATGACAACTTCAAAAGGCGCCAACCCGCGTTGACCAACTGCCTGGATCTGCTGCTGAGAGCTGATAAATTCTGCGGGATAGATCGGAGCAGGTGCCTCTGTTCCATATACACCGGCCACCGTGGGTTGAACTTCTTCAGGATAGTCAGTTTTCAAGCTCCTAAGAGCCCCCGATGACATGGTAGGAGGTGGTTCATAGGAATTATTCATTATGACACCGGAGAAGAAGGTTTTCAGATGTGGTGTTGGTGCTGAAATCGGATGGCCCGGGTAGATATAGACCGGAAAAAAATAATAAGTCAACGTCGATGTATTTTTGGCTCAGGTTTTTACATTATTTACAGTGAACACCCTTGGAGGCGTCATGGTGTTGTCACATATACTACCCAAAAAATCTAGAAGACTTGCTCTTTGTTAGATGTATATTAAATGATGATTAACATTTTCGTCGGTTATATTTCAGAGGATGATTAAATGCATTAAAATGTGAACAAACTTTAGTTGCATACTATCAAATCAAGCACACACAAAAACAAATTCATGTGTGTAGATTAACGATTAGGCTTTATAATAGAGGACGAAAATTAGAAAACTAAAATGAAATCCTCAAGTTGTAGTAAAATACATGATGGACGCTTGACTTTGTCAAGACATTGATAAAATAAAATGTACTATTAAATTGCATTATTATTTGTCACACCGTTTTTAAAGTTGAAGCATATGAAAATTTAAACTATTCGCAATTTTTTCTAAATGTTTGATTCGTAAAGTGGTCACCAATCTCTTTTAATGGTGATACTATTGAGTTACATTATAATAAAAAAAATATCAAATAGATTGTATTGGATCGGGTGATAATTTGATGTTTTGGTATGACAATTGGTCCGGAGTCGGTATTTTCGTTGTTCTATTCTCGTCCCTATTCGAATTGGATAATCGAAAATCCTGCTTTGTTTCTGAAAGATTGTCAAATAGAGGTTCTAATTGGGCTTGAAAAAAGTTGATCTAAATCAGGTGGAGGCCGGCGAACTCAATAGATTTTCTGGGCTTATCTCTTCTATTCATTTATCCGGAAGTTCAGACTCTTGGAAATCCAAGTTAGCTCGAGATGGAGTTTTTCATGTGAACGATTTACGAAGCCTTATCAACTCAAAGGTTACTCGTGCCATCAACAATCCCATGGTGTGGGTTAATCTGGTCCCTTCTAAAGTAAAGTGGGGTGTTTTGTGTGGCGTGCTTGTTTAGATCGCAATCCAACTTTGGTGGCCCTTGCTAAGAGGAGATTGAATGTGCCGAGCACATCTTGTCAATTATGTAGCAATGGTGATGACGATACTGATAATGTTCTAGTGAAGTGTCTGTCCTCAAAAACCGCTTTGGACCGGATTTTTAGATGGTGCAATATCCAGGCGCAACATTTCAATCCGGTCACGGAGTTGGTGAGTTTTGCTACCCAATGGGGTCGGTGTCCTAAAAAAAGTAAAATTCTCCTTGCTATCATATACAGTTTCCTTTGGTGCGGCTGGAAGGCTAGGAATGATAAGATTTTCAACAATATGAAGATCTCCTCAATGGTGAAAATGTGCATATGTGCACAAAAAAATAGTATGTTTTTTTAGCAGAAAATCACTTCTTAATAACAGACTTAATAGCCTATAAAGTCAAACGTAATTAGATGTTTCAAAGTATTTTTTGTATTTTTTTAAAGTTCTTGGATTTTTACGAATCTTTGACTTTTCAACGGATCTCAACATTTATATATATATATATATATTATAATCTATATATATATATATATATATATATATATATATATATATTAATATATATATATATATATATATATCCTGAAATAGGATTATATTTTTATAAAAGCATATTTTTACACCATAGTAGATGTCATGGCATATTGTATATGCTTGATTGAAAGTATGTTAACATATATTGTTTTATTTCAATTACGAGAAATAAATAATTTGATAATTAGTATTGTGAACTAATATTGAACCATTAGTAATATCTAAAGCAAACAAGTCGGAAAATAGTAATGAGAGTTAAATGTCGTTAATTACAAATAATAAATTAGATAATTATTAATTAAAAGGGAGAATAACAAAGAATATGAAACAATATTTTAGCTAAATTGATAAAGAGACGAAAAGAGAGATGAGATCTCATTTTTGGTGTGTAATAAATGGGACATGAGAGGTCTTATTTGTACTAATATTATAACCTTGGAATCCCATAATAAAATTGAACTATTGATGATGTCTAGCCTCTCATGGGTTTCCACATGACACTTTGTTGACCACATAAAATCCTAAGAGTTGGTGCCATTATGTGGTCACTGTGTGGTTAACTATGAGCTCATTGTGTGGTTAACTATGATAGGGTGGGTCCAACCTTATCCAAATCGAATGCATCTAAAAGATGATACTCGGCTCCTAACGACGATATGGTAGTGTATAGTGCAATGTATGCTTAAATCGTAACATTCCGTGAACCTTGAATCTTGTGTCCACGTCCTGTCTAGGCACGTGTGTGGGAAACAACCCATATTTTGATACATAGAAGCCTTTGATGGCTATGTCCAAAGCATACCCTATAAACACTCCCAAGGTTCTTCCCCCCACCTATGTAGGATAAAAGGAATTTACCTACTTGAAATTTTTTCCTATAACTTTCATATAATTCATATGAAGTTGGTAAGTTTCCTTTCTTTCAGATAGATAATGTATCTTAGGTGTCTTGAGGTTTAATCCCTAGTTTAATTTCAACAAAACAAGAAGATATCAATTCTATGCTATCTAATGAATTTTCACCAAGACCCTGGTTCCCTCTCCGGTTTACCCACACACATCACCTTCCATATTTCTATGAATTTTCATCGAGCGTGAATACAAACATATAGTATAAACTCTTTTCACAACCCTATAGAAGATAATCCATTATTATTTATTTGAGGTGGGACCACTCTCGATCACATATATGCAAAGTTTTATAACATCTTAGTTGCTTAGATGTCTCTAAAACTTTGTTAAGAGTATTAACTCAATCTTGTTCTCATAAATGACATACTATCTTACCTCACTTGGATTTATCATTATTGATAATTTCTATTGTTAGTGACTTCGTTATTACCCTTTAAACTTGAATATTTTAGCTTTAAACTTGAATAATTTTACGTTAATTAAATATTGGGTACCATCACTAAACTATGTATAACATTGTATTTTTTATAAAATGTGGTGTAACTGTCACAATACATTGGAATAGATGACATTAGAGTACACCACCGACGGATATCTTGTTGGATTAATATCTAAGTCCATAACTATAATTGGTAAGACTTGACCCGACCCGACATGGTCCATTTGGATTGCATGGCATCATGCATTTGGATAGACTAAAATGAGAGAAATAACACTTAAGGTTTATTAATATATTATAAGTTCTAATATATTAATAAGGTTATTTAATTAGTATTGATCAAGAATTAATTTGGAATTAATTAAGTGATCAAAAGGAGATTAATTAAATATATGGGTTGATTGTGTAAATCATTCATTCTTTTATATGTGGGCTTGTGATCCAAGATTCCTTATGTTGGACTAAGTCCATGGGGTGACCCATGGATACTCCATGGAGGTTAAAATCCATGGAGCATAAGGAATGGGTAAAGTTATGAGTTACATGGTGTAACCCTAATAGCCACCATATAAAAAAGAATCCCATGGCTCAAGAAATCGGCGACTATGTGTGTAAAGGAAGGGCTAGCCGATTTTATGAAGTGTTCCAATTTCTCTCAAGTCATTCCATGTGCATTTGATGTTGTGTGAACCATTTGAGGTGTCACACTTGGGGCACTAGGCACTCAAGCTTCATGAAGACATTCTACATCAAAGAGGTATGTAATTCTAACTTGATATGTTCATATGAATCAATGTTATTATGCTAGTTAGGATGAATACCTTGGAAAGTTCATATTTACATGTATAATAGAGAAAACATAGATCCAAGGTATTTAGGGTTGCATGTACACTTAGGAGTGTTAGAATGCTCAAAAACCCAACAGTGGTATCAGAGCCTAGACTTGTTTTCAATTATACTTGATGCAAATTGCTGAAAAATGCTGAAAAAGTCGAATTTCGGGCATTCTGGGCACTGGACTCGCCGAGTCCACTGATGAACTCGCCGAGTCCATGAAGAAAATCATCCTACTCGTCGAGTAGGTTGATACACTCGACGAGTAGGAGCCCCAGACAGCATATTTTCGAGTTTTTTGGCTAGAAATGGACTAGGAACATTACCCTAAGATGTTTTTGAACTTATAAACTTGTTTTTGATGTGGTAATGTTCATACTAATCCAATATCAAAGAGATAATTGTCAATAGATTCATGTTTTGTATTAGTTTAGTGATTAGGCTAATTACATGAAAAAGTTTGATTTGAATTATCTTGTTCTTATGAGTTGCTTAGATTAATAGAAAAGTTAATTGATTATGTGTTTTCAATCCATTTTAATCTAAGAGATGATTCTAAAATGTGTTTGTGTAACTTGTCCTCAAGTTACATAAAATTCACATTAAAGTTTCTTAAAACTCATAAAAGTTGGCAAAGGTTACAAAATGAAGAGTCTTGTCTTCATTGAATGGTTTTATGACTCCATAACTTGTCCTCAAGTTATGGAGGTTCAAGAGTCACTTCATTAAGTAATAAAATGTGTAACCTTAATTAGTTCCATAAGTTACAAAAATAAAGAAAAGTTACATTCTTTCATTAGTTTAAAGTCTTCCATAACTTGCCCTCAAGTTATGGAACTTGAAGAGTTTTTTAATTAAAACTACTTCAAACACATAAGTTATGGAATTAATTAGTTTTGAATAGTTTCAAAACTTGCCCTCAACTTTTGGAATTTGAAAAGTTTTCTCTTATGAATACTTTAATTCCAAGTTAAGCCCTTAGAATTTTAAAAGTTAAAATTCAACCCTTATACTTTATAATATTATAAGTTAATAATATATATACATGTATAAGAGAAAGTCAGTCTTACCGTTAGTAGGCCGCATTCACGAAGCCGGTCTATAAGGGGGGGGTATAAGGTTACTACCTATAAAATGGCAGTTTAATGGGTGTCCACTCTCACCCACCGCTTCCTTGACTGGTGGAGGGTCGTTAGCCGAACGGGTAGGACAAGGACTATAATTCT